AGTGTAAAATTTTGGGAATTTTTTTTCACGAACATTAATTGTCTGTCACAACGAGTCTGTGTGGAAAATGTCAGCTCGATTGGATCACGGGAAGTGGGTTAAAAAACGACCGAAAGATTTGCACGGACGTAAGCAAGCAAGCAAGCGAACTTAATATAAAGGATTTAAAAATAGGTTTTCTGTATCGACACAAGCACTGCGTCCCCCCTATGTTCCGCTTGGAATTGATAAAAGCTACCATACTGCCTCTACTTGATTACTGTGACATCGTATATAAATCAGCCCCCAGTACTTTACTGAAGAAGCGTGACTTAATTTATCATTCGTGTTGTATATATAGGTCTTTATCCAAAAAATAATATTAAGAATAGTTCTGCCAATTTTTTTTAATAATTGATCGGGGCGAGCATGGGACATGAAAGGGTGAGGCACACCCCGCTCCCACACAGCAGCTGCCCTTCACACCGACCAGGCAGCCAGAGATAAGCCATAAAAGGTAATTTAAAAAAAGAGGGGGGGGGGAGATTGCTAATGAGATTCTGGAGAAATGTCTACACGGCTTCAAAGACCGCCACAAAGCACGTACAAAAAAAACAGGCGTCGCCAGCTTCCCGGGCGGCGAAAACCGAACAGACAAGTTTTTTTTGTAGGTTATTTTAGTTAACGAAGTCCAAAAATTAGCGACCAGAATAAGTGGGCATCATAGACTGTCAACACATTCACCCAGGCTGCAGTCACATTGGTGGCCTCGAGTTATGAATTACCTTATTTTACACATTCACCTCACATTGTTTCTTGTTGTATCTTGCTATATACGTGACTTTACCAAAAAAAACAAGGAATATGAATTCCAGCAGTCAAGAAAGCTTAAGTAAAAACTTAGTTAGATCTCTAACCTCAGGACATCAAAATAGGACTCGATTAAAACAGCACAAATCCCTGGATACAGACAGACAACAAAGGAAGGTTAATAAAACCCTAGGAAATACGTGGTAATAACAAAGCTAAATAAAAAATCTAAGATAGACATAAACCAAATAATAATTATGAAGTATCAGACCAAGGGTCATCAAGAAGAATAAAAAAGGCTAAATCGGTCAATCACGCGTGACCAAGATAAAATGTATTTAATAGAGAAAGCCTCCCAGCCGCCTTTGTCTTCTAGAAGCATGTGGAAGCAATAAAATCAATAAGGGAGAGGGGAGAGGGAAGAGCAGAGAATGCAACCGGACAGGGGGAATCTCCCCCCTCCTTCCAGATGAATTATTGCAGAGGGTTGGAGGACTGGAAGGACGCACTTGGGGGCAATCTGGAGCAGCTGTTTCCATTGATGGCGGGATGGCTTGAGGAAGACGACAGGAACCAGGCCTTGATGAAACTTATATTACTTCAATAAAATTAGAACACACACAGGCCGGACAAACAGCTGTTCCCACAGGCTGAGAGCGAAATCAAAGGAAGTTTTGTGAGAAGGTGAGCCGAGGGGAGAAAATTTCACGTAAAAACAGAGACACGACACACACAATATAGTGCTGCGATCAGCAGGCTCCGGAAACCTGCCCCCGTGACTGGCACACCGTCAACGAGCTGCATCAGCAGAAGCCACGAGACTACTGCAAGGGACAGAAGACTACACAATACAGAAGAGTTGGGCAAGCGGCAAGCTCAGGGGTAGGTTCTGCAATCAACCAAGGATGGCGAGGCTTGTCGAGTAGCGACGGGTCACGGAGTCAGAGTTCAGCGCTGACAGAAGAAGTGTCGCTCAAAGTTACTCTACACTGAGTGTCAGCTCCCACCCAACAGCTGCACGATCAAGGAGAGCAACGACAAGCAATCAACCTCGAGAAAGGACGGAAAGCGCCAAGCATCGTCCAAGCCAGCATCGCTGAGAACCAGCTGCACGCGCAATCGTGCACCGCCAGACAGCACGGAGCAGGAGAGAGAGCACGCAGCAGCGCCACAGAGTGTCACCGAGCAAGGGTGTCAGCTGCCAGCGGACAAGCGACAAGCGTTGTGCCGACTCCGCTTATCCAGCAAGGGAAAGAGCATGACCAGCCGCCCGTGAGGAGGAGAGCGACGTGGGTTCCACCCACACACACCGACCAGCACCAGCTGGGAACCAAGACAAAAGTGAGGAACGGCAAGCAGGGAACGAGCTGCGGGCGCCATCTGACGGAATCATCGCGCACCACCGACGACGAGCATTGTGCAGACTCCCTTCATCCAGCAGTGGACAAAAACTGCTGCTGCCTCAAGAGAGAGAGCGAGGAAGCTGTTCGTATGACACGCCCACACTACAACACATCGCCCGGCGTCTGCTTGACGCAAAGAATTGATCAAGGAATTAAAACCACCACACACATAAAACACATACCCCGACTAAATTAAGAAGACTAATGATAAGAGTGCGTCAACTATTAGCTGATAACGAAGAAAATTGCTGCCCATTGAGTTACGTAGATACGGTCGTTAAGAATTATATTAGTCGTTATTTTTCTTTTTAATTGCATAAATATTACCAATGAATTCATTGATGTAAACTAAACGTTTGAAACCTACGTTATGAACCTACACGCTCACAGGGAGACTATTGTGTTAAAATCTTTCTTTTGATCACAGAATCTTGCCAGCGAATTAATTAAAGCATTAGCCAATTGATAAGCATCTGCTGAAGCAGGCACACTGCCGCACACCATTGTTCCAAGAGGTTTCGTTAAATGCATAATCTGACCGATGAATTCATTGACGTATACTTTTGCCTTTGGGATATGTTTCTTTATTTCCGTTCGTATGAATATCGTCGCATGCATGTTTAAGGACTTTTTCCTATCGCCGTATATGCTCGTGTTACTCTGAGGAATTAAGCAATTGTTCTGTTACCCAGTTTAACAACGTAATCATTGAGGGTTAATTGTACGGATCAATGAGGAGAACATCTCCAGGAGTACTGTGTTGACAATTCCAAGCATAAGAGTTCGCATATTAGAGTGTTATGTTTTTGTTTAGGAGATTAAAGTTGCTTAACACAGAAGTGTATGAGTGGTGCCTTCCTAAGTTCATGCATAATAATCTTAATTATAAGAACTGTATCCTGCGGTGAGATTTGAATTTGGAGACCTGACATACACACTAAGACATAATCAGTAAATATTAAAGCAAGAATAATTGCATTATTCCGATTGATAATACAACCCTAGACAACGAAGCCAAGCTTAATTCAGCATAATTACATCACACTTGCATAACTTCATACAATTCATTGTATTATCCAGATTGATAACACGACCCTAGACAATGAAGCTAAGCCTAATTATAATAACTGCATACATTAGCATAATTACATACGTTAGCATGATTTCAGATATTTATTTATTTTTTCATTTCCATTAAATTATTATTTGTATAAATGTTTCAAGACCCGGCATATACAATACTTAGCCTTAAGATTTGCATTGAACTGCCCATATCGGATGCACCTCTGCGATCTTACATTGGGTCAAACGTAACTTCTCTTCATGATCGACGGCTTGTACATCAAATCTTATTTATTCACGATGTACTTACAAAAAATCAGCAGACTACCTGCTGGATCTCCTTACTGTTTCGAAGAACAAATGTGACCCAAGGTCTTTGCTCATTTACCAGCTTCACATTCCTTATTGCCGTACAAATACTGGTGGAAGGGCCTTTTCTATTGATGCCCCCAGGGTCTGGAATGCTATCGCCAATAAACTGCAACTTGGATCACTATCTTTGAGGTCTCCACTCAACTGCTCTAGAGGAGTTGTACACCGAGCTACCACTGCTATTCAGTGGCCTGAAATCAAATGTATTGCTCCGGATGATCACTGCAAAGTATGATCTTGAGTTTTGTTTATAGTGTACTGATCTTTAAAAGGTGCATTGAAAATTTTTGATGCTCCTACTGCTACTCATTCTGTTATGGAGCAACTCATGCTGCCAGCTATGGCTGCAAAGTTTGGTCGTACATGTTATGTATATCGTTTATTGTTAAATTTGAATCACAGTTCTTATGATCACTGTTACGTTATTTTTATAGCCTTGTTTTGGTGATTTCGAAAACGTTTTGAATTAGCCATATTTGTTTGTTGTTGTACAGAGTAGGACTGATAACTTTAATCTAAATTGTCTTATGGTTGTTATTGTTTGACTTGCATCCCACTGGGATTTTTGCACACAGCATTGATATACGGTGCTTTTTCTGGAAGACTTTGCTGTTTTTACCTGGATTTTTCTGTTGCGCGTAGTCACTTTAAGATGTTTCTTGCTCATGTTTTTGTTTGTTGCGGTTGCACCCGAGTCAAGAGTCGAATGGCGCACAGGGCTATACCTAATAAATGATCTGAATTGAACTGATATGAACACAATAACAACAGGAGCCACTCGCATGATAGGAATGGGCCGCACGGTCCACTCCAGCTCGATGTACAGCTTGCCTGGGTACAGACGTTAACTACCTCGTCTGGTATACAGGAGGTTGTCGGTAAGATTCCAACCCTGACACCTGTATATTTGGAGTTTGCATGTTCTCTCCATGGTCAAGTGTATTTTTCTTCTGGTCCCCTGGATTTTCCCTATACATTTAAAAACAGGCATTTAGAGTAGTTTGCTGCTATACATTTCCTCATAAGGCACGTTGTTGACCTATAATTTGTGGCCAGGTCACTTCTAAAAAAAGAGCCTGTGTGTGAGTGGTTGAGTGAGTGAGTGGTTGAATTAATGATTGAGTGACTGATTGGTTGAGTGAGTGAGTGAATGGTTGAGTGAGTGAGTGAGTGGCTGAATGAGTGGTTGAGTGAGGAAGTGGTTGATGGAGCGATTGGTTCAGTGAGCGAGCGATTGGTTCAATGAGCGAGCGAGTGGTTAAGCGAGTGGTTGAGCGAGTGGTTGAGTCAGTGAGTAGCTGAGCAAATGGTTTAAGTTAGTGGTTGAGTGAGTGAGTGAGTGGCTGAATTAGTGAGCGAGTGGCTGGCGTGCACCTTGGCTGCGTTGTCCAGGGAGTCCCGCTGGTGCCGCCCCACTGTGTTCCCGCGCTCAGTCAGGGTGAGAGCATCTCACCAAGCCCCTCCTGGCGGGCACGCAGCACGCCCTGGAGCTCCGTCACATGGCGCTGGCAATCCGAGACACCCACCTGTAGCACACACGCTGAAGAAGAGACACGGGGATGGATACGGAAACCCAGGTGGCGAGATGTTAACCACCTCACCCAGTATACAGGAGGTTGTGGGTTCACTCCTGACTCTGATGCCTGCATATTTGGAGTTTGTATGTCTCGCTCTCTCCTCTTAGTCGTGTGCATTTTTTTCGGATCCTTCGGTTTTTCCCTCCATATTTAGAAATATGCATTGAGAGTATTTGGCTGCTTTACATTTCCACATGATAAGAGACTTCATTGGGCTATCATTTGTGGCCAGGTCACTTCTGAAAACGAGCTATAGAGCTCCGTGGGCCTTACGTGGTCAAATTAAAAAAGTCGAGTGAGTAGGTAAGTGGATAGGCAAGGGGGTAGATTAGTCAGTGGGTAGGTGAATGGGTAGGTCAGCGAGTGGGTAGGTTAATGGAAAGGTCAGCGAGTGGGTAGGTGAGCGAGTGGGTAGGTCGTTGAGTGAGTTAGTGGTTGTGCTAATAATTGAGTGAGTGATTAGTTGAGTTAATGGCTGAGTGTGTAAATGGTTGAGTGAGTGAGTGGTTGAGTCAATAATTGAGTGGTTGAGCGAGTGGCTGAGTAAGTTAGTCGTTCAGTGAGCAGTGAAGGGAGTGACTGAGTGGTTGAATGGTTGAGCGAGTGGTTGAGTAAGTGAGTGGTTGAGTGAGTAGCGCAGTGAGTGTGCTGCTGAGTGGTTGAGTGAGTGAGTAATTGAGTGGGTGTGGCTGAATGAGTGGCTGAGTGAAAGAGTGAGCGAGAGAGTAATTGGTTGAGTGGTTGAGTAATTAATTAAGTGAGTGAGTGGTTGAGTGAGTGGTTAAGTGAGTGGTTGAGCGAGTCGTTGAGCGAGTGGTTGGGTGAGGGGTTGGGTGAGGGGTTGAGTGCTTGAATGAGTGGTTGACTGAGTGAATGGATGAGTGAGCAAGTAAGTAGCTGAGTGAGTGGCTTCAGATAAGAATCTGTGTGGGTGGCCTTCCTGCAGACAGAATGTCCCAAAGAGCCATAAAGAAGGTACCCCACTACGGCCCATCGTGTCCACGATCAACTCGCCTACCTACAAACTAGCCCGTTTTCTATCAGATACTCTGCTTCCCAGTCTTTTACTCCCAGCTTTATACACCACCATCACTAAGAAATGTTGATGTACAACAGTGATTCAATAGCGCAAAAATTGTCCCCCCCATGCCAATCTCCCCCCCCCCCCATCCGTTGTATGGGCACTCTACTCACCCTCCCCCAGTGTAGTGTATGGCATATTGTATAATAATAATAAATAGTATTAAAGTGTAATGTTTAATGCAGTGTATAAGGTAATAAATAGTATCGTAATTGTATATTAAATATACAGCAGTGTGATATACAGTTGGGTGGGTAGAATAATACATAGTGTAATATTACACTATGTATTATTCTAAGACATAGGGTAGTGTATAGTAATACAGTATACAATTTAATGTTGGGTTTGTCTATGGCAACATATAGTACGAGATAGACCCGTGTGATGTAAGGAAAAAGTTTAAAAAGTTTAGCTGGAAGCATATTATACTTTTTGCGACCTAGAATTGTAATGTATTACTTACGGTTAGTAGCTCAGCTTATTGAGAGTATATTTAGCATACTGATGATACTATGTAGTTTATACTTTAGCTTTTTACGTGGTTGTTTAGTTACTGCAGCTACATACTATTAACATTCCTTCCCTTTGTTAATGCTACTCCTCCCTTTGATGCTGCTGGTCCTGCATAATGCATGGGCATAATATGACTTTGAAAACCCCCCGCCCACCTCCTGCGCATTTCACAAGTAGCACTGGTCGCATTCTTGCATTTTTCATAAATATGCTAAATTCCTCTTGATATGCAGATTCTTTTGTCAAGGCGCATTTTTTCCCCCCTTCCGACCCAGCTTAAATAGACGCTCCAAGCACGTGGTGGTGTTTCATTTAGACGCTGTCGCCTCGACAGACCTGGTCTTCACCTGAGGACGGCTGTTTGTGTTGTGGCCGAAACGTCGTGAGAATTATTTTATTATGTTGAATTTGTATTATTTTATTACTTCCCTTCTACGTGACTTTACCGAAAGAACCAAGAAGATGAATCCCTGGTGAGGGGCAGCTTGAGGACACCATCTCCATAGAGGCCTATGGTGGTAAGGCATCGTGGAACTCCGAGCCACTTCTTTAAGTAGCTCGTGGCTCCTCTTTCCATCTTCTCCACTGTTGAGATTGGAACCTCATACACTGCTAGGGGCCACAACACCCAGGGTAGGAGACCAAACTGCAGACACCAGGCCTTTAACTTTCCAGGTAGCTGGGTGTTGTCGATGGACTGTAGGCTACTACTGATGTCTTTGCGCAGCTGTTGCACCTGGTCTTTGTCCTTCAGGCTTGCATCATACCACCTTCCAAGGCTTTTTACCGGCTGCTCAGACACTGTTGGGATTTGGTCATCTCCGATGAAGAATTTCAGGTCACAGAGTACTCCCTTCACAATCGAGATGCTGCGTGACTTGGATGGTTTAATCTTCATACGGGCCCAGCTGATGTTCTCCTCGAGTTTTCTGAGCAGTCTCCTGGTGCATGGGACAGTGGTGGTCAATGTTGTAATGTCGTCCATGTAGGCTCTGAGTGGAGGGAGGCGAAAACCAGAGTCGACTCGCTGTCCACCAATGCATGGGCATAATATGACTTTGAAAACCCCCCGCCCACCTCCTGCGCATTTCACAAGTAGCACTGGTCGCATTCTTGCATTTTTCATAAATATGCTAAATTCCTCTTGATATGCAGATTCTTTTGTCAAGGCGCATTTTTTCCCCCCTTCCGACCCAGCTTAAATAGACGCTCCAAGCACGTGGTGGTGTTTCATTTAGACGCTGTCGCCTCGACAGACCTGGTCTTCACCTGAGGACGGCTGCTTGTGTTGTGGCCGAAACGTCGTGAGAATTATTTTATTATGTTGAATTTTTATTATTTTATTACTTCCCTTCTATGTGACTTTACCGAAAGAACCAAGAAGATGAATCCCTGCAGTCACGAAAGCTTTAAATCGAAAAGAAAAAGATGTTTATCTATCGGCTTAACTCAGCTAATCCCCTGCATAACCGCCCGCGACGCCACACGGCCTGCCGCATGCTCCCCCCCCCCCCACGACTCCTTGGCTCCTCCACCCCGAGTACCCTATATAACGTGTCTCTAAATAGCTTGCTCTATACGCTACAGTAATTTTGCTGGAGCAGTTACACCCGATGCCGGAGGCTTGTGTTGCTTCCGAAACGTCGTTATTTAATTTAGTTGTTTTCACCTACGTGACTTTACCGAAAAAAACCAAAGAGTATAAATTAAGTTTAATATAAAATTGTATATTCAAAGGATCGAGTTAAAGGTGACATAACACATCGGAGTAAACTGAATTGCGGCCAAGATGAATTTTTGCATTAGCATAACATTGATTTATAATTATACAAAATGACTTTTTGCAGAGCGATTTAATAAAAAAAAGTCTGATAGACTACGTAAATTTTTAGATAAAAATACATACGAATCGGGCATCAATACCGTTGCTTTGTATGATCTGTGAAACGCAGAATATTTCAGATATCGGTCATTTTGAGCTTGCTGTTGGATCGACTGAGTGGAATCAATACAATTAGTCTCCATTCACGATAAACAGAGACCATACAGTATATGGGAAAATCTCTGATCAGTGATTTTGATTGCATCGTATTGCGGAGCCCCTTTGATTATTTTATAAAGCACTTACCCCAACAGTCTGTTAAAGGCTACATGGGGGATCTTTGTGTGCGAGCAGCTCACAGATCCTGGAGAGATCTGGAAACTATCCGATCACCAGCGAGCTCCTCCGGCAGGCGAGGCTGCGTTGGCTGTTGTCTGTGCATTAAGAGGTGTTAAATATCCCATGCAGAGGAGTCTGCTTACAGGACAGATAAGAGGTTCTTCATGGACTGTGCCCCGTGTCACCTGAATGTTAAATGGGGCCCCGGTAATTCGTGTCCACCGCTGAATCATCTTTCACCATCACCACGCGGTCCATTAAGGCCAATGCGACGAGGCCAAAAATAGACGCCGCGTTATAACGGGGGGGGGGGGGGGGGTGGGGAGTAGGAGAAACGTCGTACTACGTGACATCACAACACCCTGCACACAACCGTAGTGGCTGATTAGGGTGCGCATCGTTCACCAATGTGGTTTAAGTGGTTGAGAGTAGATTTTGGTGTAAATTGTGGCCGAAACGTCGTGAGAATTGTATTTTATTATGTTCTATTTTTATTATTTTATTATTTCCATTCTACGTGACTTTACCGAAAGAACCAAGAAGATGAATCCCTGCAGTCACGAAAGCTTTAAATCGAAATTTAACCACCACTACGGGGTGGGATTCCACAAAAATTTAAGATCTTTCAACAAGCTCCGGGATAAGAAGGCTCAGCTAATCGAGTCTCTCTTAAATATACGCTGCCAAGCCTGGTGGTGTTCATTCAGACGCTGTCTTTCTGACAGACCTGTTCTTCACCTGAGGACGGCTGCTTGCGTTGTGGCCGAAACGTCGTGAGAAATATTTTATTATGTTTTATTTTTATTATTTTATTATTTCCATTCTACGTGATTTTACCGAAAGAACCAAGAAGATGAATCCCTGCAGTCACGAAAGCTTTAAATCGAAATTTGATCACGATGCTTTGCGTAGCCTGCATTTAAAATTTAATGCGTGGGTGCGTGAGCAGATATCAGTGGGTGAGTGCGTCAGTAAGCCGATAGGTGAGTATGTGGGTGGATGGAGGGGGCTGGGCGGGCACGGCATGGGCTGGAGTGGAGGTGGACTGATGCGGTACGGGAGGATATGGAGCCGAGTGGGCTTTGCCCACGACTGGTACCAGCGGTGTTGGGATCAGCCTCTGCGGGGGAGGCTCGTGTAGGACGCTTCTACTGGGCAGTTGGAGACAGTCGCCCTCCAACAACAACGGAAGAGTGACGCTCACAACAACGAGCGGAACACCGGATGATAAATATGCAACAATTTGGCACAGTACGGGGTACAGGTGGTGCATCTGCCAGCCATCTCAGTCAGCCAACCCATGGCACCTGGGTCTGTTCCAGGACCTCCGGTCAGCGAGCCTTCGACACTTCACGTGGCTTCAAAGTGCACCTGGCCTGGCACAGGCGCCGTGGTGATGTCACTGACTTATTGGCGAATGGTGACGGTTGATATTGCAGCGGTGGTTGTGAGAACCATTTGGGGGGGGGGGGGGGGTGCCAACCCTGACCAGCTGTGAACCTCACGTCGCCTCGCAGCCACCACAGTGGCCACAAGGAGTTCTGGATGGGTGCCAGGGCCTGGTAACCCCCCCTCCACCTTCAACTAAATCATCACACATTCACATGCGAGCCCTTGGGTCTCTCTGTGAGTCGATTAATCTCTGTGGTGAGTCTATGGGTCTCTGTGAGAGTCCGTGGGTCTCTGTGAGGGGAGTCTGTGTCTCTGTGAGGTGAGTTTATAGGGCTCTGTGCGAGTCTGTTTGAGTCGGTGGTTCTCTGTGTGATTAGGTCGATGCGTTTTGTATGTCTATGGGTATCTCTGTGAGTCTATACGTATCTATGCGAGTGCATGGATCTCTCTGCGAGTCTATGGGTCTGTGGGGTGAGTCTATGCGTCTCCGTGGTGAGTCTATGTGTTTGTGTGGTGAGTCTATAGACCTCTGTGCGAGTCTGTGGGTATGTTTAAGTCTGTGGTTCTGTGTGATGAGTCTATGTGCCTTTGTGTAAGTCTATGGGTCTCTGTGGTGATTATATGGGTCTCTGTGTGGCGAGTCTGTGTCTCCCTGTGGTGAGTCTATGTCTCTGTTTGGTGAGTCTACAGGACTCTGTGGATCTGTTTGAGTCTGTGGTTCTCTGTTTGATGAGTCTATGGGTCTCTGTGGTGAGTCTATGGTTCTCTGTGGTGAGTCTATGGTTCTCTGTGCAAGTCTGAGGGTCTGTGCGTGGTGACTGTATAGGTCTATGTGTGATGACTCTATGGGTCTCTATGTGATGGATATCTGTGGTGTACATATCCTGCCACAAGCGCCGTGGTGTCGTCACCACCACTTAGTGGAGAATGCTCCTCCCCCTGCTCCTGTTTGTTGTGCTCGGGAAGGACAGAGAAAACTCGACAAAAATCTCAACGATTTTCATTTTACCAGGTAAGATCCACCGAGCTAAACATCTCTTTTTCAGAAGCGACTTGGCACCAATGATAGCTCAACGAAGTGGCTCATCATAACGTGTAAATTATAGCAGCCAAATACTTTAAATGAATATTCATATTCTTGGTTCTTTCGGTAAAGTCACATAAATAGAAAACAAAACAAATAATATTAATAAAAATATAATAAATCCAATAAATTGCTTTTATTATTTTCAATTGATCTTATTTTTATTTTATCAAAAATATATCTATTTTTTTGTTTTCTATAGAAGTGACTTTATCGAAAGAACCAAGAATATGAATTCCTTCAGTCGTCAAAACTTTAAACGAAAGTTTCTTAATGTGGAGGGGAAAACCTGGGGACCCAGAGAAAAATCCACGCGATCACGGAGAGAGACAGAAACACGCAAACTCCAAATATACAGCAGGCATCAGGGTCGGGATCGAACCCACAAACTCCTGTATACCAGGCGAGGTAGTTGGGGGGGAAAGCAGAGACAGCGAAAGGGAGAGGGGGGAGAATTAGTCAAACTCACACTCCGTATTACTCACTAACCATGATACACTCACCATCACACTCACCATCATACACACAAGCCCACACACAAGACCACACACATCAACAGTCGCCATTTACTACTACATGGCGGTCACGTCCCCACAATAACTCAGGTGCCATGGTTTGACGGCTGTGCCAGGCTAAGTGCAGGAGGAGGTCACGGGCCAGACTCAGGTACCATGGGTTGACTGCTCTGCCTGGCTCGGTACAAGAGGAGGGCTAGACCCTGGTGCTATGGGTTGACTCGTGTGCCACCACCTGCAACAACCACCACAGTAACCACACAATTATAATCACAACAGTAACCACGACCACAACTATAACGTAACCACAACTATAACGTAACCACAACTATAACGTAACCACAACTATAACATAACCACAACTATAACGTAACCACAACTATAACGTAACCACAACTATAACGTAACCACAACTATAACGTAACCACAACTATAACGTAACCACAACTATAACGTAACCACAACTATAACGTAAGCACAACTATAACGTAACCACAACTAAAACGTAACCACAACTATAATGTAACCACAACTATAATGTAACCACAACTATAATGTAACCACAACTATAATGTAACCACAACTATAATGTAAGCACAACTATAATGTAACCACAACTATAATGTAACCACAACTATAATGTAACCACAACAGCAGCAGCAGCAGGGCCGCGCTCTGCTTGAAGCTGCGCCGTGAGCTCCGCAGAACGTGACGGCTGTGGGCCAGGCGCCTCCTCTGTCTCCTCCCACCGCCGCCGCCGCTGCTGATGGGACACACCGCGCGAGGTTCTCACCTTCAGGCTGAGTCGACCTAGAGGAGGCCCAGCGAGCCGCCGCTTCAGAAGCGCTCGCTCGCCACTGACGGTGGCCGTGAGCGGGAATCCAAATCTGCCGCTCGCCACCCACAATGCACTGCGCGCGCCGCCTCCACTCGGCCCCGGCGGAAGTAGCAGCGGGGGGAGGGGCATGGGGGGTGAGGGGAGGGGCATGGGGGGTGAGGGGAGGGGCATGGGGGTGAGGGGGAGGGGCATGGGGGGTGAGGGGGTCGGGCATGGGGGGAGGGGCATGGGGGGTGAGGGGGAGGGGCATGGGGGTGAGGGGGGGGACATGGAAGGTGGTCGCGAGTGCTTCCCACTGGCAGTTTGGCCGTTAGAGGCGCCGACAGACCCCAGAGCAGGTGAGGAGTGGAACCGAGCTGTGGGTGAGTGGTGGCGGTGGTGGTGTGAGTCTCTCTGTGTGTGTCTGTGTGTGAAACTCTCTGTATGAGTGTGTGTGAGTCTCTTAGTGTGTGAGGCTCTCTGTGTTAGATCTCTCTGTGAGTGAGTCTGTGTGTGTGTGAGTCTCTCTGTGTGTGAGTTTCTCTGTGTGTGAGTCTCTCTGTGAGTGAGTCTGTGTGTGTGTGAGATTCTCTGTGTGTGAGTTTCTCTATGTATGTCTGTGTGTGAGTCTCTCTGTGAGTGAATCTGTGTGTGTGATACTCTCTGTATGAGTCTGTGTGTGTGTCTATCTGTGTGAGTCTGTGTGTGTCTGTGTGAGTCTCTCTGTGTGTGAGTCTCTCTGTGAGTGAGTCTGTGTGTGTGTGTGAGTCTCTCTGTATGAGTCTGTCTGTGTGAGTCTGTGTGTCTGTATGTGAGGCTGTCTGTGTGTGAGTCTCTCTGTGTGTTAGTCTCTCTGTATGAGTCTGTGTGTGTGTGAGACTCTCTGTGTGAGTCTGTGTGTGAGTCTCTCTGTGCGAGTTTGTGTGTGTCTGTGTGTGAGCCTCTCTGTGTGTGAGTCTCTCTGTGCGTGAGTCTGTGTGTGTGTGAGCTTCTCTGTATGATTCTGTGTGTGAGTCTCTCTGTGTGAGTTTGTGTGTGTGAGTCTCTCTGTGTGAGCCTCTCTGTGCGTGAGTCTCTCTGTGTGAGTCTGTGTGTGTGTGAGTCTCTCTGTGTGAGTCTGTGTGTGTGTGTGAGTCTCTCTGTGTGAGTCTGTGTGTGTGTGAGTCTCTCTGTGTGAGCCTCTCTGTGCGTGAGTCTCTCTGTGTGAGTCTGTGTGTGTGTGTGTCTCTCTGTGTGAGTCTGTGTGTGTGTGAGTCTCTCTGTATCAGACTGTGTGTGTGTGAGAGCCTCTCTTTGAGTCTGTGTGTGTGTGAGACTCTCTGTGTGAGTCTGTGTGTGAGTCTCTCTGTGCGTGAGTCTGTGTGTGTGTGAGCTTCTCTGTATGATTCTGTGTGTGAGTCTCTCTGTGTGAGTTTGTGTGTGTGATACTCTCTGTGTGAGTCTGTGTGTGTGTGAGTCTCTCTGTGTGAGTCTGTGTGTGTGAGTCTCTCTGTGTGAGTCTGTGTGTGTGTGAGTCTCTCTGTGTGAGTCTGTGTGTGTGCGACTTTGTGTGAGTCTGTCTGTGTGTGAGTATCTCTGTATGAGTCTGTGTGTGTGTGAGACTCTCTGTGTGAGTCTGTGTGTGAGTCTCTCTGTGCGTGAGTCTGTGTGTGTGTGAGCTTCTCTGTATGATTCTGTGTGTGAGTCTCTCTGTGTGAGTTTGTGTGTGTGATACTCTCTGTGTGAGTCTGTGTGTGTGTGAGTCTCTCTGTGTGAGTCTGTGTGTGTGAGTCTCTCTGTGTGAGTCTGTGTGTGTGTGAGTCTCTCTGTGTGAGTCTCTCTGTGCGTGAGTCCCTCTGTGTGAGTCTGTGTGAGTCTGTGTGCGAGTCTCTCTGTGTGAGTCTGTGTGTGTGAGTCTCTCTGCGTGAGTCTGTGTGTGTGCGACTTTCTGTGTGAGTCTGTCTGTGTGTGAGTATCTCTGTATGAGTCTGTGTGTGTGTGAGACTCTCTGTGTGAGTCTGTGTGTGAGTCTCTCTGTGCGTGAGTCTCTCTGTGTGAGTCTGTGTGTGTCTGTGTGTGAGATTATCTGTGTGTGAGTCTCTCTGTGTGCGAGTCTCTCTGTGTGTGAGTCTTTCTGTATGAGTTTGTGTGTGTGAGACTCTCTGTGTGAGTCTGTGTGTGAGTCTCTTTGTGCGTGAGTCTCTCTGTGTGAGTCTGTGTGTGAGACTCTCTGTGTGTGAGTCTCTCTGTGAGTGAGTCTGTGTGTGTGTGTGTGTGAGACTCTCTCTGTATGAGTCTGTGTGTGAGTCTCTCTGTGTGAGTCTGTGTGTGTGACTCTCTCTGTGTGACTGTGTGTGTCTGTGTGTGAGTCTCTCTGTGTTAGATCTCTCTGTGAGTGAGTGTGTGTGAGTCTCTGTGTGAGTCTGTGTGTGTGAGACTATCTGTGTGAGTCTGTGTGTGTGTGTGGGACTCTCTGTGTGACTGTGTGTGTGAGTCTCTCTGTATGAGTCTGTGTGTGTGTGTGGGACTCTCTGTGTGACTCTGTGTGTGTGGAACGGTCGTGTAGCTGACAGCGCGCCACGATATGAACCCGGCGACCCCGAGGTGGATTCCCTTTCAAGGCCAACAGCAGTGACGATTATCTGAACCGGTGCTGGGCCTCCCCTAGGTCGACTCAACCTCGAATGAGTACCTGGTGCGGTGTGTAAAGATCGCCACGAGGGAGACAAAGGCGACCGGGTGTGGTGCTGGCAATCCAACCCCCTCGTGTGCCGTGCCAGCCTTCATTCGTACTGCTGGCTAACAGCACTTTCCCCTACAGCCTGTTAAGTCTCTACGGGGATATTGTCTTTGGAGTCCCATACTGGCAGGGGGAGAAAGTGGTGGTGTTAATGTTGGTGGTATTAGTGGTGGTGGTGCTAGTGATGGTGGTGGTGTTAATAATGGTAGTGTTAGTGGTGGTGTTAGTTGTTTTAGTGATGGTGGTGTTAGTGATTATGGTTGTTAGTAGTGGTGATAGTGGTGGTGTTACTGGTGTTAGTGATGGTGGTGTTGGTGGTATGGTGTTAGTAAAGTGGCCGGAAGCCCTGGTGGTCCCCATCTTTAAGAAGGGAGACCGCACAGACTGTAACAACTACAGGGGCATCTCACTCCTCAGTGTGCCGGGAAAGGTCCTGGCAAGGATTATTCAACATCGCCTTGCTAGGCACGCTGAGGAGAGGCTTGCGGAGCCCCAATGCGGTTGCAGGAAAGGGCGGTCCTGCACAGATGCCACCCAACATTAAATTATATACTGTATTACTATATAGACCTTCGTCTATAATATTATCCTAAGTATTATTCTACCCACCCTACTGTATACCACACTGCTGTATATTCACTATACAATTACGATACTGTATATTACCTTATACATTGTATTAAACATTGCAATTTTATTCTATTTATACAATCTGTTATACACTATACCATTGACCGTATAGTACATAGCAGATTGTATAAATAGTATAAAATAGTATAAATAGTATAAAATAGTATAAAATTGTAATGTTTAATACAATGTTTAATACAATGTATAAGATAATATACAGTATCGTAATTGTATAGTGAATATACAGCAGTGTGGTATATAGTAGGGTGGGTAGAATAATACTTAGGGTAATATTATAGACGAAAGTATAGAGTGGTGTATAGTAATACAGTATATAATTTAATGTTGGGTTTGTCTATGGTAGTATATAGTACGGGGTAGACCCGTGTGATGCAACAGAAAAAAGTTTAGCTGGAAGCATATTATATTTTTTGTGACATAGAATTGTAATGTATTACTTACTGTTAGTAGCTCAGCTTATTGGAAAGTATATTTAGTATGCTGATTATACTATGTAGTTCATACTTTAGTTTTTACGTGGTTGTTTAGTAACTGCAGCTACATACTATTAACATTCCTTCCCTTTGTTAATGCTACCCCCATCCCCTCCCTTTGATGCTGCTAATCCTGCATAATGCACGGGCATAATGACTTTGAAACCCCCACCTCCTAAGCATTTCACAAGTAGTGCTAATCCCATATCTGAATTTCCCATAAATATGCTAAATTCCTCTTGATATGCAAATTCCCCCTCCAACCCAGCTTAAATATACGCTCCAAGCCTGGTGGTGTTTCATTCAGACGCTGTCTTCCCGGCAGACCTGTTCTTCACCTAAGGACGGCTGCTTGCGTTGTGGCCGAAACGTCGTGAGAATTTTATTGTTTTATTTTTATTATTTCATTATTTCCCTTCTACGTGACTTTACCAAAAGAACCAAGAAGATTAATCCCTGCAGTCACGAAAGCTTTAAATCGAGGTGTTGGTGGTGTTAGTGGTGTTGGTGGTGTTAGTGATGGTGTTAGTAGTGGTGTTAGTGGTGGTGGTATTATTGGTGGTGGTGTTAGTGGTGCTGTTAGTGGTGTTAGTGATGGTGTTAGTGGTGGTCTTAGTAGTAGTGTTAGTGGTAGTGAGGGGTAGTGTTGCGGTTAGCACGCTGCACTACGAACCTGGCGACCCGGGTTCGATTCCCGCTCACAGCCTACATCGACTTAGCCTCAAATTAGTACCTGGTGTGAAGTGTAAACATAGCCACTGGGGAAACAAAGGCGGCCGGGCGTGGTGTTGGCCACCCACCCTTTCGTGTGCCGTGCCGGCCTTCATAGGGGCTCGTGAACAGCATTTGCTCCAACAGTCTGTTAAGGCTATAAGGGGGACTCCTGACTCGGGTGCCCTCCTGTGTGGAGTTTATATGTTCTCCCCCTATTCTGGATCAGTTCACTCTTACATTACATTAAGTCTTCATTTCACCTGGTAGATGCATTCCTGAAAAGTGCCGCGTTAAGGGAAAGCACATTAAGCAAACATAATATCCCCGTATATAATGTAACGATAAAGTTTTGCAAGATATAATACACGCACACAGTGATATGAAGAGTCTAATAACGTAGGGTATGCTGTCATGTCACGTTATCATTCCGCATTCCGCCTCGTGTATCATACCGCTCAGCCGTGCAGTTTTATAGCAGGCACATTCCACGTTATAATGGGCGCTTTCCTGTGTAGGGGTGTTATGGGAGGGC